CTATGACACTCCATCGAAATGTAGTCTCCTAGGTGATGTATTCGTTAACACGTGAAGTATGAAATGGGACGCATGGTCCCTTAACCGACTTTAATTTAACCAGGTGTGGTTTAATTTGAGATCTCTGGCTGTCTTCATTACTTTTTATCAATAAAGGTTTGAAAGATATATTTGTCAAAAAAAATATACATCTCTATCTAGACTATTTCAATTAGAAACTAGGTGTAAAATTAAGTGAAAAGAATGAGACTGATATCAGCACAGAACATAATCATTCTTTGTTCGTGCCTGGCTGTGAAACACAGGTTTTGTTGAGTTTTAAGATGATTGATTTTATTAGTGTTAATAAATTAACTTTTTTACGTATTCTTTTTCTCAAGGTTTCTTCATCGTGTACTTAAAAAGCAACACAACACATGTCCAACCAAACGAAGACACCTCAGTCTACATAAAACAGCCCACGTGAACACGATGTTGCGCCAGCAGTAGTTTATGAGAATCGATGAAAACAGAAAGACATGACCGGAAAGAACGTCTAGAAAAGCACACTTTACTTTCAAGCCTTCACAACTGGAGGTAGTAACGTAAATAAGAACTTGATACCGATGGAGTAAAGGGAAAAATTGGAGATCGCGAGCCGTGTCATGATGCAATTCTCCAGCATCAATTCACTCCAGGTGAACAAAGACTGTCACGACTTTGCCAGTTCTAGATCGGACACAGCGAGATCGAATGCCACCTTTGGTGTCAATGACAGCTTCTGAGCATACAAAGCTTCAATCTGTCTGAGTGCTTTATTACGAGACGAAGTTTTCAACTTATGTAACATCAGAAGCCGCGGCTTCACAAACAATTTCTACAACCCTCTCTAAGCTAGGACGTCGATTGGCGTCATGAGTTTACGTCACTTTACAAGAAACTCTGCTAAGCCAATCATGTTTTGCTTACGCTTCCTTCAAGATGGCGGGCGTTTTGTTTTTATCTGGAATAACTGTTATTTACTGCCACTCTTGACTATTTCGATTTAACCGTTTGATTAACTATAGACAGTCGCTAGAGGGGTGGTTTTGAAATTAAAACTCTGGTCAAATAATGTTGGTAATACTGTGCACGGTTATGAAATGTTAATTTTTACTCGGCTCCCAAGAATATTTCGCCCTTGTTTCTACCCCAAATTTGGAAATCATCTTACCAGTTTTCCAAGCCCCACGTTCCCCCCGAGAGCAAAGAAATGGACGCCGTGTTCAGTACTTCAATTTTCCCCTTCATCCATTGCAATGAGCGAGAAACTCCAAGCTTGCTTAAGACCGAATTCAAAGATTGTTGTCTTGCTGTCTCAACGATATTGGGTGAAAGAAAAGAGTACGTGTGCAAAGCAATGGCTGGGCACGTGCGTTGAAACCTTTGTACATTTCTCAGCAGTTTTCTGAAAAAACAATACAACGATCTTTTTCTCCACAGTCTCACCTCCTAAAAGTTCCTCTATATGCGTAATACTGAAAACGAAAACCTTGACATAATTTTTTAGTTTGGCATTCAAGGTCATTGGTTCAGCACAAGGGCATTTTATCTAAAGAAATTCGGAGGACAAATAAAACAAATTTTCCAATCACCGTTTTTATTGAATTTGCTATTGTAAGAGTGTAAACTCCTTTATAAATTGTACTTTGAGAGATAATATTGCAAATACTTTCCTCAAATCCTAGAAGAATGCGAAACTAGCCAAACAGACAAATTGATATGTTTTTAGCGCCCGAGATTTCGAAAATGATAGCGATTTTCAGAGTAGCCATGGTCATAAATGACCCTATGATTACGTCGTGAAAGATTTTACTTTAATACAGAAATCAAAATAAATTTCTGAAAAATTGCATATTCGTCATTAAAGGGGACAAACTCCCTTTGGTTAGAATCAAGGCTAGCCCAAGCTGGTTTCCTTAAGAAGAAAAGGAAGTACAGCCGTCATTTTGAAGTGGGCCTATAATTTAACCGTCCACTAGATCCCAGCGGTAAATTCATCGCAAGAGGCTCACCAGATCAAACTTCGCAATCATCGGAGCTGTTTTCTTCGACTGAGATGGATGTGAGATAGTGTACAACTTACGTACAGTCTACGTCTGATGCGTGTACTTGGGGGGGGGTGGGGAGGAGGAGGTCGAGTGGGGTAAGAAAGTATACAAAAGCTCGTCTGCGAAATTAACAAATTCCGCGTTTCGCTTCAATTTACGAGAGTACGTAGATTGTAATGAAAGTGTTTCTAATCGATGTTCACAAGCCGAACGCGAATAAAGTTAGCTTCCAGAAATCACAAAGTTTTCCAGTATTTTCACATTCTAGTATTCATGCAATTGCAAACTGACTTGTATAGTGCACTTTACATCTGTATTTGCTCTATGACAAAACAAATAATTAAACTACATTTGTAATGGATTAAGTCACATAACTCAACGAAAATAGCGGAAAATTCTAGTCTCTTCTATTTGGTAGTGCTCTTTTGTTGTGATGAAAAGAGTAAAGTCTATCAGATGTGTACTGCATTAGTCGGGGCCGCATGCACCAAGCGATTTCGCTACATCGTGACTAAAATAGAATGGGTATTGAGTGCGTCGCACGCCTGTTGCGCATGTGTGTTAAGTTTGTCTGCTTTGCAGGCTCGTAGTGTGCAAAATCGTTTCATAGCCTGATAAAATACTAGTTATATTACGCTTGTCTGGGTTTCACGCTTGTGGAGGGCAGTCTCGCATCATGACTTATTTAAGAACATGCGGAATGTTTGTCAATTTGTTCGTTCGCGCGCTCAAAGTATGCTGTCCCGTTTCATAACTTAGAGAATGCGTACATGCTTTAAGGGCGAGAAATAATTTCGTGTGTACCCAGCTTGCAACAGGCTTCCCCGCTTTATGACTTTAAGAACGACGTAATGTTGCCTGTGTCGCTCTTAAAGCGTGCCTTATCGATCCCTTCATAAATTATACACGCGGACTACATCATAAGCGACCTTTCTTGATTTCTAGCCTAAAGAACATTATATATTCCATGTGTATTACGCTTGCCATATTACGCACTTCCTGCGTTTTTCTAGCTTGTGCAATTTATTAGTTCAAGGCTTAAAGAACGAGGCACTTTTCATTTTGCCTTGAGGGAATTGTGTTGAAACACTTTCTATTAATAGACTGAATGTAAATAAAGAAAAACAGATATTTTGGACTGTCCATCGATTCTCGATATTCTCAGAAACCTACGCTTAAGTACAAGATGTGAAGACGACAAACGTGAAACGTCAATTAAAAGTGGCCGTTTCCCGTTTGCTGTTAAAGTCTCTAAGTAATAAGGAAATGCTCTGACGTCACGGCACTTTAGAGGCTATAACGGATAATTGCGAAACAAGGGAGAGTGATGTAAAATGATTCAGCATACACCATTATCATCAAAAAGATAAAGGCTTTGAAGGACAGGAAGGTGAAGGAAAAGCCATTTATCGTGGAAGTGAACGGACGAATCTTAACAACGACTAAAAAATGTCTCTCCCAGTTTTGGGCTGGCTATTGGTTTTGGTTCTCTCATTGTTTTCGTCAACGCGGAGGAACACCGTCCACGGACAAAGAAGTAAGCACTTTTCAATCTGTTCTATGTCTATACTTCTTTGATCTACCCTTACAGCTTTCTCTCGAAGCAAAATCAACTGAAAGGGTGAAAAATTTTGAACACAGACTTACAATTACAATTGTAATTGAACACAGACTTACAATTACAGGACCCCAAGGACAACAGTGTTACACACTGATGGGTTTTCAATCCTGTATAAAAATTCGTTATTATTATTATTATTTAACGAAGGTGACGTAATTAACCCAATGAGTTATCTAACTTACGGCTTTCGCAAACCCACCTACGCCACCCCCGAGGGGGGGGCATCCATCACACAGTAATCTCGTGCGTGGGAAATTAACGTCTCCTACCCCTAACCCTGCAGGAGACGGGACCTCCATTTATTCGTCCCTATCCGAGAAGACTAGAATATCTAAACCATTTCTTGATGTAGTTATAGAAAGGTAGTATATTCTCCTCATTTTTATTTTAAGACAACAGTCCAGCGCTCTATCCATTGAGCTAACCGGGAGGCTAGCTCAATGTATTTCGTTTTCATACATAACTTGTTTTCGTGAAGAACACTTTGGCCAAAGATCGATAATTCCTTCCATTTTGGGCACCATATTTATTGCGATATAGTTCAACTGCGCACGTTTAGAAATATTTGGTTCAAGTAAAAACACAATTAATTGCCACCTCCATTTACTTTAATTCCAGTTTCTAACATGCTCAAAGTAAACATGCACTTCTTTCAAATCCTTTAAGACCAACACATCATATCACTGATTCAGAAATTGATTTGGAGAATGGGCAACGTGGCTGCCGGAGCGGTTAGGGCGCTGGACTTGTAATCTGGTGGCCCGGGCTTAAGTCTACCACCTTGCTACTCACTGGTTTTGTTCTCGGTTGCCCCGAGTTCAACTCCATGGCTGGACTTTGATATAAACAATTCTGCCGCTGGCCCGTTGGGATTTTAAACACTTTGTTAATTGACAAAGTTTGTTTCAATTTTTTTGTATCGGCCCTAAAAAGCCCTGTTGGTGGTGTGGTCAATTAATGTTAATATCATAATCATTACCGAATAAACAACCGTTTTGCCTGACTCATCCAGCTCAAAATATTGTTGTGAAAACATGGTTTTCTCGATATACTTAATTTATCATCAACATGCCTAAATGTCTTGATCTTCAGCGGGGATTTTCTTGGAGAACGTGAATCTTTATTTGGGTAGTTCTAATCGGGGAAAGGGGTTATAGAAGAGTATTTCGTCTTTTGCAATAAAGGCTAATATGAAACACATTCAAAAACTGATGTTTCGATTTAAAAAAATCCGTTTTCGCCATTGTCAGCTTTTGAGTGAAGGTGATAATTTCTCTCGCATAGAGAAGCAGGATTCGTCCAGGATATATGAAAAGCTTCAGATATTAATTATTCAAATAATTTGTCACTGATTCCTTAGTGGATGCCTCACAAATAAAAGTTATCGACGATATGTTTGAAACTTTTCTTGACTGTTCCCCACCAATCTCTGTTTCAAGAACTACAATAAAAAAAACATTGGTCTGTGTTGGTACTAATCACGCGTGCCATTTCATCGCTTCACCGTACATCTTACGGTAGTTAGAAGGGAGGGTTTTTAAGAAACACCTTAAAAAAAAAACTTGAAAGGCGGAAATTCTCGAGTACACGGAACAACGCAACAAATATTTTGTGGAAAAATCATGCAATTTCAAACGACATCGACTCAAAACGTTCCTCAAGTCGTTGCTTTCAGGGTTATAATGATATTGCCATTCTCGAGTGATCGAAGAGCTTCGTGCATGCTGTCAGCTATATCTTTTCCCTTCCCTTAAAATCATGATTTGAACACCAAAGATATGTGATAAAAAATACTACGTCACTGCGCTTGTTCAATAGCTAAACACCATAGAACCTGTTTAACTCGCCCTTTTAAGACGACAGAATCGAACAGGTTGCACAGTGCAATACTAAGGAATCACCTTAAGGCAATTTTTCAGCGGGGTAAGAGTGATTTTTTTAATGATTAAACAGCCTGAAAAAGGTGCCCTCTCCTTTTGTTAAGAGGAGGATCTCTTTCAATTGAAAAGTCATGCCATCTCTACAAACAACCTGAACTTCAATTCATTCGCAAATAAGAAAGACCAAAGGGCAAAGGACTTAGAAAGTTCATAAATATCGAGAAAAGCCGTTCTTGCTCCTGTGGTTAAAATTTTTAAGCTTCTTATTGGCCTTAAAAATATTGACCTTTAACTGTGCCCCAAATATCAAGAAAATTCAGTTCCTCTTCCTGTGTTTAATAATTTTAAGCTTCATGTTGGCCTTGGAAATATTGAACTTAAACTCCAAAAAAAGTATGCAAATATCAGCAGACGATATTTGCAACATATCTTGCCACCGCAAATGAACAGTTGGATCTTTTTAGACACAATTCAACCCCCCCCCCCCCCATAGTTTCTTGGTTTAAATGTTTCATCGCTCGATTCGAATTCATCGAATTAGTTAGCAACCTAAGAATATTTCAGACGACAACCAATTGGCATGCGACGCCGGGGAATTTATCACGGTTTGACAACCGTGACATGCGAAGTTTTCCTGCCCTTCTTAAAGAATCGTTGTATGAGAAAAATAACGGCGCCAGACAATGCTGCTCGTCGGCATAACGCCGGGTAAGTCGGGTAATTCACTGGGTCGCTTCAATTCCTCTCACGTTTCCTCAGCTACGTGAGATTTTACCCGAGAAGACCCATGAGTATGAAAGAATTCTTATTCTGTTATTCTGCGTGTGACAGAGTGCTTGTGCAAAGCTGTGGTAATGGTAGTGGTATAAAACTAGCCGCATAGCTGCGTGAACTCGGGCTTTCTTCGAAAACATTGATAAATACCGACTTGCTCTATACTGCAATTTAATTATCCTTTCATATACCCTCACAGAACAATTCAACAAATACTTCTTCTCATGTTGTGTAACTTTACTTAGTCTTACCCTCTTCGTGATAAGCTTACAAACATTTTTTGTAACTCTTCTAATCTTCATATAACGACGTAGCCAAGAGAACTTCGGTATGCTTGGACGAATACGCTCATAAACAAATTCCTTCAGTTTTCTGCCCTTTCTCCGGAGACGTTTCAGAGTAGCTTCTGGTATTCTGCTGGGGGCTAGATTGCAGAATATTAATACCCGGCCATTCATTTACATGTCATTGAATAAGAATAGCCTTTATTGTGTTATGCTTCGCTCTTCAAAGCATAACACACTAGGTGGACGAAGGTGGCCGGGTATTCTGTAATAGTCCATTTTACAGTTGTGTGCTTGGTTGCCGAGCCTTTGAATGGGGAGTGTGGCTAGAGTTGACCTTGTTATGATACAAACCTTGCTGCCTTTTAAATGTAAATCACATTATTGTTATCATGCTAAGTAGATACAGGTCTCTCTCACCACAAGGTCACCTTCAGCCTCACTCTGAATCAATGGCTTGGCGACTAAGTACACAACTGTAAAATGGCCTATTGCTCCCTACTGGGTTCTCGATCACGTCTAAATACACGGTTGTGTTTACGTGTAAACATGATATGAGATAACTCATTTGATATAGCAGGTTTCGCTTGATGTTTCTCGATAGAAGTTTCACTCGTAAAGGTCGCTCGTAAATTGAACCCTCGTAAAGTTCGCGGACCGACCCAAAATAATAATAATAATAATAATCGACTTTATTTAAAGAGGGTAGACACATAACAGCTTGCGCTGACAAACCAGTGGCCCTCAAAACTAAGTTAGTAAGTAATACATTCTAAGCCATAGAGATTAAAATAGAACTAACTATTTGAACAAGGTAACTATTCAAAGATTATAAATACAATAAAACTAGATTATAATACAGCTTCAAAAGAATCAATGTCTCTATAAGAATTTATAAAATAATTCTTCAAATCATTCCTAAGAGAGGAGATGCTACGTTGTTTCCTAAGCTCATTTGGAAGACTATTCCATAACTTAATACTACTAACTTGGAAGGACCTTCCTGCCTCAGTAGTATTTCGATACTTGGGACAGATTAGGTTATACTGGCCATGCCTGGTCTCTCTACCATGCAGGGAGTGATTTGTAGTTAAAGTACTTTCAATATACGTAGGGGATTCCCCATGCAGTGCCTTATAGATTAACACGCACTTTCTTATCTTGACTTCATCA